GTGTGTTTCCCTCAAGTTTAGTTCAAATAAATGTTTAACAAGGTGAGAACTCAAGGGACCAGGATAGTCTCATTGTTCAAAATCGATCCCCCGAGTCCAAGGTTGACAAAAGAGTAAGCAACAAAGAAAGTACAGAAATTATCACATAAAAAAATCTGAAGAAAAAAACAACTGCCGCCATTCACCGCTCCGCCACTAACTGGTGGTAATGTCACCAAATAGCTTGCGCCTTTGAATCCATGGTGCCCATTTCGAAGGCAAGAGGTCATTGGACAGGCCCAGATCATTGTGGGTTAACTGACCGAGGTAAATGGCAGATGCACGGCCTGTGAGCCCCAATGTGCCAACTTGTGTGTTTTAGCCGCCCACTGCTCCACTCTTTAGCGTCGCTCCTCCACCCTACATTGATGCTTGCAGAGCGACTGCCTCCAACTGCCCAGTAGCATCCTTCATGAGCCTCCTCCACAGAAGCCGATCTTGACAACGCTGGTACCAATCCTTGGCAAGTCCAATCAGCTTTATATTCTCCTGTACCACAGCAGCCCCTGTGTTTTGTAGCTTGTACCATGACCATTCAGTCCTTTCTATCTGGCTAGACAGAAACTGATTGGGCATGCGGTGGCTGGGCATGTGGGCTATGTGACCCAGCTAACACACAGTCTAGCCTCATTGAGGAAGTCACTGGTGTGACTTTGTCCAGATCTTTCAAGAACATGTGAGTTCCTCACAACACAGCCTGGTTAAACGCAGGGTGGATTGGAGGCAGGCCAGCCTGAATGTTTCAAACCGATGCAAAATGTTCCTTTAAATGTGTTCAGTTCCACGAAAACAAAACACGATCATATGAGGAATTGAAAACATTTCCCTCCATTATTGCTTGTAAAATTGCCCTTTCGCCCCCCCCCTCCCCCCACTGTAGGTGTCTCAGGTGTGCGATGCTATCCGCTCCTCCGTCATGTCACGTCACGAAGGCTACAATATCCGCTTGACCATGCAGTTTGGGGAAATGGCGACGGTGCTGCAACAAGCTCGACAACAAGAGGTAGCCCTCGCCACCTCGTGGCAAGCCCTGGACTCAATCATGCAGTTACAACAGAGTCCCTAGAGGGCGTCAGTAATGGTCGTGTCAGACATGAGCCCTGGGGTATTTATTTACAGAGAGAAAAAGCAATGTAGGAAGTTCACAACGCCCATGGTAGATTGACAACGGATTTGTTGGTAAAGTCACGTAAAATAGAAATAATAATAAAAGGAAATGAATAAAAATAAAACCTACGACGTTTCAATCGCAGCGCAAGCGGCGGTCGTCATCAGGGTTCATATTGGCCATGCCATGTTCTGACTGAGTTCGTACCGGATTGAGGCTTCACTTGAGCCTAACGAGGTGCAGAGTAATGGGAGAAAACTGGCAGAGGAAAAAAAACCCTATAGAGGAATCGAGCCGGAGGACTCCACCATTTGTGGAGGTGCAGATGTGCGTGTTTGGCAGGGGTCTTACACGAGACCAGCACTTAAAACATTCATATGCCAGGTTCCTAAACTTAAATACAAATTGTTGGCTAATCCTTCACTCACAACGCTCCTCCACACGTGGAATTATATCACATTTGTATAACATCTAAACATGATCCTGGCCCACTCAGTTTTTATAATTGTCAAGTCAAAGTTGATTTCCTGCTCAAATGTGCAATGGTGTTGTGTTTTTACGGCCCTTAACCAGTCTTATAAATGTCACATTTCAATGATGGGTGTGAGTCGACCCATAGGACAACCACTGTTTACTTCCCTACTTAGTGGTACTAATTGTATTGTCCCTGGAGGGCTCATAGGCTGAGTCAACCCCCAACCTTAGGATTTTATTGGTTTTTAATAAGCTATTAATTCCATAATTGGATGTTATAAATTTGAGCGCTTTTCAGTTTTGTTGCATAAATAGTATGAGTTTTCAGATTTTAGTTAGACCTTTTCGGCAATGTTAATTGTAAAATGTTGTGAAATGTATTCTAATATATTCTTAGCTGTTACTGCAACTGCTTTTAAAATTGCTTTGTACTTGCTGTGCTTTCGTGATGTTTCATGAGTGCTGACCCAGGGCTCACTGAAATAAAATACATCGAGACTCTGGGCTTACACTTGGTTATAAAGTTAATACTGGTAGGAACCTCCTGGTTATTACACCACCAGCCCACAGGGGATTATTGTTGGGTCCGTCCGTCGTGCATCCACAAATGGGAGGGGTGGGGCTGGGTGGAGAGGGGAGGGTGGGGAGGGGCTGGGTGGGGAGGGGAGGGTGGGGAGGGGAGGGTGGGGAGGGGAGGGTGGGGCTGGGTGGGGTGGGTGGTGGAGGGGCTGAGTGGGGTGGGTGTGGCGGGGTGGGGAGGGGAGGGAGGGGAGGGTGGGGCTGAGTGGGGATGGGTGGGGCTGGGTGGGGAGGGGCTGGTCACCCCGTGGTGCCCTTATAAAACTCAACGTGTAACCTACTCACGCCGGCTCATGCCCGCCCTCACAGTCGAGCATATTTACGGAATACACCACGTGGTGGTGCCGCCGTTGACCCTGGCCATTGACCGAGCAGCCCAACGTTCCTACTACCAGCTCCCTCCGCAGGAGAATCTGTTATGTTATCTTATGGTTGTGCCTCTACGTGCCTTTGGCCTTGCTTTACATACCCTTTAACTCTCTAAACATTGGGCCTCACTCTTTGGTCCTTTAGGTAAAGTCACGTAGTAGGTATAAAATAAATTAAATCCGCGACATTTCGGGCGCAACACAAGCGTCCGCCGTGAGGTGGGACAACCACAGCAAGAAAACAATTGCTGAAGTGGGCAAAAGGGCTGCTGTGACAAGAGGCTATGTAGGTAAGAGAGGGGTTTAGGAGCCAGGGAGGAGAGAGTGGAGGGGGTGTGGAGTAGGGGCAGTGGAGTGCTGCAAGTGAGTCACATCTAGATTGGGTCTTGCGTTTCATTATCAAGTTACATTTTCCGAAAGCGCACCAACCTGCTCTCATCCGCTTATTTTGTAAGTTTGATCCCAGGCGGCCTTCAGTTTTATGCGTGCCTCTTATGGCAGCCAGGATGCGTTCTTGATAAACGGAACACTTCGTGAAACAGCGCTGTAGGAGGTCATCATAACATGCTTCCAATGGAGATGCATTACCGAATGAGCATTGGTTTTCCTCTGTCCAAATATGAGCACTTTATTGGGGTATCAGTACCCGCCTTAATTACGATACTGTACACATGATAAATGTTTAGAGTTTTTATATGTATTTAAAACAAGTTCAATGGTTACAGACGTAAGAGTTATGCCTGTACATGTGTAGTGGGTTCTTTAAGACAGCGTAGAGACGAATCGGTAGAGGCAATGCTTATTTATTACAAAGGTGCTTAACACAATACAATACAGCCTTCTACTTGAAGGGGTAACGGCCCCTTCACCCGCTGCTGAGGAGGTACGGCTTCGGTCTAACTCGCCCTATTCCTGGGCTAGGGTCTCGGGGTCCTCCGGCTAAGGGGGTCCTAGGGGAGGCTAGTCTGACCTGACCCAGCCAAGGTACAGGTCTCGACCACTGGCCACATGGGACCCATCCCTGATAAGCCACCCACACAGACACACACTCACCTAGCCACCCACACACTCAGTCACTCACTCACCTAGCCACCCACACAGTCACTCACCTAGCCACCCACACACTCAGTCATTCACTCACCTAGCCACCCACACAGTCACTCACCTAGCCACCCACACACTAAGTCATTCACTCACCTAGCCGCACACACACAGTCACTCATTCACGCACTCACCTAGCCACCCACACACTCACTCACCTAGCCACCCACACAGACACACAGTCACTCACCTACCCACCCACACAGACACTGTCACTCATTCACTCACCTAGCCACCCACAGTCACTCACTCACCTAGCCACCCACACAGTCACTCATTCACTCACCTAGCCACCCACACACTCAGTCACTCACTCACCTAGCCACCCACACACTCAGTCACTCACTCACCTAGCCACCCACACACTCAGTCACTCATTCACTCACTCACCTAGCCACCCACACACACTCATTCACACACTCACCTAGCCACCCACACACTCAGTCACTCATTCACTCACTTAGCCACCCACACACTCATACACTCAGTCACTCACCTAGCCACCCACAGACACAGTCACTCATTCACTCAGTGACTCATCTAGCCACCCACACAGTCACTCACCTAGCCACCAACACTCAGTCACTCACCTAGCCACCCACACACTCACTCATTCACTCAGTCACTCACTTAGCCACCCACACAGACACTTAGTCACTCATTCAGTCACTCACCTAGCCACCCACAGTCACTCACCTAGCCACCCACACAGTCACTCATTCACGCAGTCACTCACCTAGCCACCCACAGTCACTCATTCACTCACTCACCTAGCCACCCACACACTCAGTCACTCACCTAGCCACCCACACACTCAGTCACTCATTCACTCAGTCACTCACCTAGCCACCCACACACTCATTCACTCAGTCACTCACCTAGCCACCCACACACTCAGTCACTCAGTCACTCACCTAGCCACCCACACACTCAGTCACTCACCTACCCTATGCCCAACTTCCTTCATGTCTCCACGCTCATGTTCAATCGATTCCAGTTCGATGTCAAACATGCATCTCTCCATACTTTTATTTTCAAACACTGTTCTATTTTCTCTTGGGGTTTATATTTGCAAGCGTATTAACCTGCTAAATACACGCACTGTACAGAATGCCAACCCATGTTTTTCAATGGGATTTTCAATGAGTCGGGGTATATTTTTACCAGCCCCCCCCAAAAGGGTCTCTTTGGCATTTATTTCAGAGCTCTCCGTTATGAAATTAAATGGGCAATATTAGTGCCATGGGCTACAGCAAGAAAGGAGCATCACTCGTGGTGGGAGCAAAAACTTTGGCTATGAGCAAGTTGAGAACCCCCCGAAATTGTAAATTAATTGGAGCCGCTAAAGTTACGGCACCCGAGGACTGCCAAGTGAAATCTGGTTTGGGGCTCATGGACAAAATAGCAATGCACACGGCAGACAAACTCGGCAGGTTAAGGAGACTAATCATAATTATTTTAATTTCAACATTCTTCATTTCCACTGCGACCTTTAAAATCTTTCGGTGCAGTCAATATAGAAATCTAAATTAATCCTCCAAAAAATGACAACTAAAATGTAAACGCGTCAATTGCACTTTCGACCTATACCCACGGTTAACTTTCAACAAGAGTGATGGGACATTCACAAATAGTACACAAAGTGACAATGATGTTGACACCGACGTTCAATACGGCATGAAACATGTTGAGTTGTCTTCTATGAAGGCTGGGCAGTAGAGAAGCACAGTTTGAGGGTGTAGAGGTATGGAACATCTGAGAAAATAAAAACAGGGGAGCCACATGACGTCTTCACTGGAGCACACAAAAACTTAAAACAATGAAGCGATTCTTAGGAGGGTCTTTGTCGATGTCAACAAACTCGTTCAGGGAGCTAAGATAACGTTGAGTTGTGATAAGTGAAAGTGCTTGGCTATGTCAACTTTCAATTCCATTCTGTACATGCAAACAACAACGAAATCCAAATCGCCCATAAATAACAACCTGTTAATATATAATACAACAAACTACAACTGCTTTCGCTTCCTGCAATTTCACCCAAGGCTGCTAGGCAGCCAGTGTACACAGATGGTGCTATGGCAGTGGTTCTTAACCTGGGTTCGATCGAACCCCAGGGGTTCGGTGAGTCGATCTCAGGGGTTCGGCAGAGCCCCCGCCACGGAGGTCCGGACACACTTGAATTATTGTGTAAATTTGTGATGACACACACGGCCCGCTTGGCCATCACTGGCTGCAGATAATCATGCTACACTGCTTGGCCAATCAGCGCTGCGGGGAATTTAGTGCGTACTCAGTAGTCAACGTGTGACTGTTGTTGTCGTACGTCGTGTGATTTCTTTAATATTTTATCCATACTAACTATGTCGGGCAAAAGAAGAAAGTGGTCGGACGAATATGTATAACATGGATTCTCATGTATCACGGAACGTGATGGGAGTGAGCGTCCTATCTGCATGATTTGCAACGCCAAGTTGAGCAACTCTAGTCTTGCACCGGCAAAACTAAAGGTACACTTCTTGCAGCTGCATGGAGACGGGGAATACAAGAACACAACACTTGCTGAATTCAGGGTGAAGAGAGCCAGATTCGATGAAAGGGCCACTCTGCCTGCTCTTGGATTTGTACCTGTTAACAAACCGATCCTGACAGCATCGTACGAAGTTGCTTACCTGATCGCAAAGCAGGGCAAGCCACACACCATTGGTGAAACACTTGTGAAACCAGCTGCATTAAAGATGGCGAATCTGATACTCGGAACAGCGGCCGAAGGTAAATTATCCCAAATTCCCCTTTCAAATGACACCGTCAGTGACAGAATAGAAGATATGAGTAAAGACATCTTGGCTCAAGTAGTCGCGGATCTGATTTCAAGCCCGGCAAAATTCAGCCTTCAACTCGACGAAACCACAGACGTTTCTGATCTAAGCCAGCTTGCTGTTTTTGTACGCTATGTGAAAGACGACATGATAAAAGAAGAGTTTTTATTTTGTAAGCCTCTTACAACAACAACGAAGGCAGCCGATGTGAAGAAGCTTGTGGATGACTTCTTCAGAGACAACAATCTTTCATGGGATATGGTTTCTGCAGTTTGTACGGACGGAGCTCCAGTCATGCTGGGAAGAAAGTCTGGTTTTGGTGCGCTAGTAAAGGCCGATGCACCACACATCATTGTGACGCATTGTATTCTGCACAGGCATGCGTTGGCAACAAAAACCTTACCTCCAAAAATGGCAGAAGTATTAAAAACTGTGGTGGAATGTGTGAACTATGTGCGAAAAAGTGCTCTGAGGCACCGCATCTTCAGTGAGCTGTGTAAAGAAATGGGCTCTGAATTTGAGGTACTTCTGCTCCATTCTAATATTCGGTGGTTATCCCGGGGACAGGTGCTGAATCGTGTTTTTGCCATGCGTGTGGAATTAGCCCTGTTTTTGCAAGAGCACCACCACTGCCATGCAGATTGCTTCAAAAATCCTGAGTTCATTCTCATTTTAGCGTACATGGCTGATATATTCGCAGCTCTCAATCATCTCAATCAGCAGATGCAGGGTGGTGGAGTCAATATCATGGAAGCGGAAGAACACCTGAAGGCTTTTCAAAAAAAGCTACCGTTATGGAAACGACGAACAGAGAACAATAACTTCGCAAACTTCCCGCTTCTGGACGACTGTGCAAGTAAGATCGAAGATGTGTCTGGAATCGGAGATATTTCTGTATCCACGGAACTGAAGCAAACAATTGCCACGCACTTAGATGAGCTTGCAAAGTCTCTCGACGGATATTTCCCTACAAGAGAGTCATATCCAGCATGGGTGAGACAGCCGTTCACGTTTGCTGTTGAAACAGCAGATGTCAATGATGAATTCCTCGACTAAATCATTGAAATTCAGCAGAGCCAGGTTCAACAGCAACTCTTCAGAACAACAACGCTCTCAACGTTTTGGGTGTCGACAAATGAACAAGTATCCAGTTATTGCTAAGAAAGCCCTGGATTTTTTTATACCATTTGTTACAACATATCTTTGTGAGCAATCCTTTTCGAGGATGCTGGACATAAAAACGAAGAAAAGGAACAGACTTTGCTGTGAAAATGACATGAGAGTGGCACTTGCCAAGGTGAAGCCACGCATATCTGAACTGATCTCTCAAAGGCAACAGCAGAAGTCACATTGATTTCCAGGTATGTAATTTGTTGTGAGTTTATGCATTGTGTTGGTTTTATTCTTTGAACAAGGTAATGTTCATGCACGGCTCATTTTGTGTACCAGTAAAAAACATATCTGTCTTGAATTTGAAAAAAATCACATTTTATTTTTCACTAAAGAGGGGTTCGGTGAATGCGCATATGAAACTGGTGGGGTTCGGTACCTCCAACAAGGTTAAGAACCACTGTGCTATGGTAATAACAAGCGCCCCCCCCAAATCTGAACATTAGGTGCTCAACAGAGCGTACGACCAAAGATTTGCCGATAATGCAGCACCGCTTCAATGTCATCGCACCAACACAAATGGCCAACACCCCACAACTTACTTGCGTTCTTCAGGGGGTGATGGTTAATGCACGCCAGAGCCTCCATGGCATCGTTCTTGGTCTCCCACTCCATCAGGCCGGACACGCTCCTATCGGCTGGACACGTGGACGGACCGTCGCTCATGGAGTCATTTGGGTCGTGTAAAACGCAACACCCTTCGCCATTTTGATTTAAAGCTTTCGTGACTGCAGGGATTCATATTCTTGGTTCTTTCGGTAAAGTCACCACCACGTAGAAGGGAAACAATAAAATAATAAAAATATAAAATAAAATTCTCACGACGTTTCGACTGCAACACAAGCAATCATCATCAGGTGTGAAAACCACAGCAAGAAAATTTTAAAAAAAGTGGCGGTTATTTTTAACGTTAGCACCACGGAGAGCGATTTGGCAGTTGTTCAGATGGACGAGTCCATCTATGTTCTGAAAAGAGGAGGGGGGAGACGAAAATAATGGATGCGGTCTGAAAGCCACCGTAAGCGTGAACGATCAATTAAGACCCGAAATGGTTTATCAAATCCTTCCAATGATTGCTAAGCCAGAATCAATCTTCTCGGTTGAAATTGTCTGTGTTTGTATATATTTATTATTTTGTTGTTTCCCTTCTACGTGACTTTACCTAAAGAACCAAGAATATGAAACCCTTTGCCGTGTTTAAAGGGTGGTGCCAGTCGTGGGTGAATTTCTGCAGCAGGAAGGCTTCAGTCCGATGCCTTGGCTACGCTAACACGGTCCAGTCAGCTTGGGCGCGAGTGAATAGCAAGGACTGCTCTCGGGAGAGAATTTCTCACAGGGTTTCTTTAGCATGGCCTCATAGCACACGTTGCAGATCATCTGGTGTCGTGCTGTAAATCAAGCGACGATTGCATGGAGAATACAGTACACGATTTATTCTGTGCCATGACACGTAAGATAAATAATAAACATACTTTGCGGGACTTACTTTTTCCAGAAAACACTTTGAAAGAACGGGGCCTCGCAATCGACATTTCGTCGCACAGCTGCGGGGACAGAACGGGCGGCGTTTACGTTAATAGTTGGTAACAGTTAACGTGCAACGGTAAAGCATTCAGGAGATGTCAGTTTAATTGCAGGCACAAATCCCGTTGTCCATTTTTAAGATTACATTCGCCAGCTTAGGAGCAGTCTTTCAAAGTGCTCAGATTATTGTGAACACCAAGCATAGACTCCGGGGGAATGCAACCATTTGCAGAAACAATGTCCAAAGACTGAAATGTAAACCTTTCGAATACAAATGAATATGAATCGTAATGTATTAAACAGGACAAATTAACGCGAGGTGTTGTCTAGTCTGTAACAAAAAAGTCCCTTTGGAACATCGACTGCATTATTTATACATCTTATGTTTTAACCGCTGAAAGGAAACTACATTACACCATTTTACATTTCTCCCGTCACAGGAAACGTGTCATGGGCCACCACAAACTCCACAACATCAATAGGCTCATCTTAAAAACCCACGATTGTTTAACGTGCAAACTTTGGACTTGAATATTTATAAAAGCTTCACCTGGGAAAACTTTTAAAGAAACCGAACGCGCTCCCCTTCTGCGCTGCTGGCAGCAGGCTGAAGGGGCGGCGGGGGCACGGACCTGCGCGAACATCTCGGCCGTGATGTCCGTGGGCGCGTTGAAGAAGTGCAGCACCGCGGTGGGACGCTGGTTGCGGTTCTTCGCCGCCTTCTCGCTGTCGGCGTAGCGGTGGTTGCGAGAACCTGCGTAGTCCCTGTAGCTGTCGGTGCCGTCCGGCAGCTCGAACGCCTGGCCCGGCACAATCGACCGCTGCCTCGATACGCTGCCGAGACGAGGGCGGAAGGGAGGGAATAGCGCGAAGAAACTGTTTTTAGGTTTTATTTTATCACGTTCCAAATTTCACGTGCTCTTTGGTTCGATTCGGTAAAGTCACGTGGGTAAAAAATAAAATAACAAAAAATCACGTTTTGGCCACAACACAAGTGGCCTTCATCAGGTGAAGGGACTGGACTGTCCAGAGGACAGCGTTGGAGTGAAGACAGCAAGCCCAGGTCGCGTCCTTTAAGCTTGTTGTCGCGGCATCTTTTGAGGAAGGTCAGCGTCTCGATGAACTTTGACTTCTTGTCCCGTTGTCTGTTGAAAGCTCTAACAGATAGGTGAAAGCCCTCCCCGTAGAGCTTCAAATCTAGAATTCAAATTTCACGTTCGCTATTTCAATAAAGGCCCTCCCCGTAAAGCTTCAAATCTAGAATCCAAATTTCATGTTCGCCACTTCAATAAAGGCTCTGGACAGCAAGTCATCGGGGTCCTCGTGAGCTGTGTGACAAGTGTTTCGTTCACGGTATTCATCAGCTCTCTTTTTCACCGTCCTAAAATTTCGTCACTTGCACTAAATATTTAGTAAAAGTGTCTTCCCTAAAGAGAAAGCAGTATCCAATTACATTAACAGGATATGACGAGTTACATTTACCAATTGAACACGGGAACAAAAAGGCTCACCAGAGGTTGATTTTATTTCCAAAGATCTGAGACATATTGAGGTGAAAAACCGCCCTGTGCACGGCGTACTGATCTCCCATCTCGACCATGGCGGCTCCCGGCTTGCTCTTCAGGAACTTAACCTACAAAAATAACAACCCGTAAGACGGTTCAGCATCGCGCAATCTTGCACGAAAATATCTACAAGTTTCGTTGTAACGCATTGTTGAAATGTGAAGTGTTGGCCGAGGGGCCATTAGAAAACATGCACAAAGAACACTTCGCATTGGGTACATTTTTGTAAAGAAAATGACCAAATGTGTATGTTGTCAATCGGTGAACAAATTTGGTCGTGTGAATCTCCCACTTTATATAACACGATCAGCGCACGACGTGCACCACACGCATGCGTACGCATTGCACCGCGGTTGAACCTTTGGAAGAAAAAAAACGGGGACTCATTTCAAAGCAGGTGCGCGCAACACCCAGCGAAGGCACCTTCTCCACGTCGCCGAAGAGGCAGAGGATGTTAAACACGCGGTCGCAGTTGAAGCGTTCGGCAGTCCAAGTCGTACACAATGAGGACCTTGTTGTCGGCCTGCTGGTTCATCATGGCTTGCACGTGCTGGCCCTGGGTACCACCCTGGGGCCCAACCTGGTTGCCCATGCCTACTCCCATGCCCATTCCTCCCCCACCGCCCATGCCGTCGCGGCCAGATCCGTAGTCGACGCCCGGTGGTGGTGGCTGCTGGTGGCCTGTGACGCAAACACACAAGAGGGGGAAACGCATAGTGAACTAGCTGAAACTCTCTAAACTTCTCTGAAAAACAGATTTATGACAACCATCATCTTACACACGTGTGCCCTTTCCTATAAGGTCAGGTAACCCAGGAATCACCACTCTACTCCTTGGAGACACTGGAAAACATTGGTCCAGAAGACTCAGTTGCCTAGGGAATAGACTAAACTAGTTTTTATTTTAGGTTGAGGGCCACCAAGCTAGAGCTCTTATTCAGCATAGCTTGTTTTAAATACCCAATACATCTGATAGCTATTGGAAATATCGTCTCTTAAAACACAAAGCAACTCATACGTTGCAATTGTTAATCGCAAAAAAAGGTTTTTAGGATGCACCTTAACACTAATTCCAAATAAGAAATGTTCTCAACAGGCAGCAGGTTCTTTCAATCTGACAGCAAGCTGAAGGAAACCGAAATTATAGCATTCGCAACAAGGGGATTACCTCCACAGTCGCCACCACCGCAAGCGTGTGCTTTGGGATGGTCGCCAAGGAGAGACGTTTGCTTCGCTGGCATCATTGCATTGTCCTCTGAAAACAACAAAAAAAACGATCACCAAATTCACCCACGGGAAACATAAGCGCTCATTGCTGCACAAAATAAGGACAATCCAAAAAATGCATTCTGCACCCAGAACATTCACATGACCAACACATTAAGAAATTCCGGGCACACTCCACACGGGGGTGCGCTGCGTCTGTCGATAAAAACAATTGGCGGTATTTTTAAAATGCAGATTTCACATGGCGCAACATAAATAACGAGCACCATACAAAATACAGCGCGTAAAGAAACGCTCATCGCAAGAAGAAGAAAAAACAAAATTTATTGGAGGTGTACAGATGCACGCGACAAATTGTTCCGAGGTGCGGCGTCAGCGAGTGTCCGTGGTTGCCGCCTGCGATGCCCGCTCGTTTCTTACCCAGTCTACGCTTCGACGGGAACACAAAGTTGCCCAGAGTCGGGCGGCGGCTGACGACCCATCGCGAGGAGGATGCAACAGAAAGGCCGGCAGCCTTCTTTCCTGCGCCAACAGCAGTCACGCTTGGCACAAATGGGACCCCCCCGCGTTGTCCATGCCACCGCACCTCTCGCTCTCCGGCGACCCTTTTTGGTTTGGGGCTTAAAATTGGGACGCTTGAAGTGGGCGACGGGGCCTTACGAACCTTTAAAATGAAAAAGATCGCCGCTTATAAACCGATGCGAAATGCGTTGTGTCTGGCATCTGCAATGTCAAAAGCCTCGTTTGCAAACAAAACTTTAGCAAGGCAGTCTAAACGTACGAGCGTGGAGGTAAATTCTCACCAACGGAGCGATTTTAAGCCCCAAACGCATCGGCACGCGTTCCGTTCGGCTTATTTCCAAGTCCCGTTCGCGGTGAATGCGGGCTTTCGTCGCTCCCGGCTTCTTCGCGGCGGTTCCGGTGCTTTGCCGGTCTGTCAGCGCCGTGTCCCCCGGTGCCTGCGGCTGGACGCGGGTTATCCGATGGCCTCTGCCAAGCGGCACGTGGCGGTTGCGGTGCAGCGGATGCAGCGTGCTGCGCCGAGTGTTCCATGACGTGGCGCTGCAGGCGTGGGGTGCGCGGGTCGGCCGTGCGTGTCACAGCGGTGGCGGCGTGTTGGTTGCTTGGTCCCTGGTGCCTCCCAAGTGCCGACGAGGATGTCGCCAATGTCGCCGTTCGTGTCGTCGCCGTTCACGTCGGTGGCTGTTGGCTGCCGGGCGCTTGATTGCTCGTGTGTTGCTTGCAAATTGCCTCCGTGTGCTTCTGTGTGCGGCAATGCTCGCAGATGCTCCTTGTAGCGTTGATGTTGGGAGTGAGGAAAATACTCTTCGAAGCGTTTACGGAAATTTGGCGATTAAATCAAACCGAACCGTGTCCCTGAAGCTCCCTTGATAAAGTGGCGAGACTTACCTCTTCAGAAACTAATATCTGTGCGTACACACAATGTACTCGGGACAAAGATACCATTTTCCTGTTCAGGCTCAATCGTACCAAATTAAAAGGGTTACTTTATAATAAGTGATATTTTCAATCGTAAATATCGGCTTTTCTGACATCCTCTAAGCTTCTCCGCTTAGTATCCAGACACCACATAATGCAGTCAAGGTTTCTCAACCCTACAAAATATAAAAACGCAACGTGCAATGTCCACCTCAAATATGCCAGTGAAAGTTGGCACCTACTTCTGATCCAACAGACACACACCCTGGTAAATCTAAATATAAAAGTAAAACCTTGGATTGCAAGTAACTTGGTCTGCAAGTGTTTTGCAAGACGAGCTAAAATTGTAAATAAATATTAACTTGATAAACGAGCGAGGTCTTGCAATACGAGCAGTGTACGTGTAGACACACTTTGTACTGCCGTGAGTCACGTGATCACACAACTGATAGACGAGTGCTTTGATGTACGAGCGCTTTGGATTACAAACACGTTCCCGGAACGAATTATGCTCGCAATGCAAGGTTTTACACTGTAGTGTAAAAATGCCCAGCCTTGATACACCCCGAACAACCGAGTACCCGCCTATGGGCCACATGCACTTGACGTTGGGAAAATCTTCAAAGCTGATCAAAATCTAAAACGCCACCAACTTAATGGCAATGTCTATCGCATGTCCAGTACCAGGGCAACAGCTTTAATGGTAACAAAAAAATTAATCCAATGGATTATTGAACACTCCAGCAGCCACATGCCTCCTTGTGAATCCTGTTCTTCACAACATTCACTTATACTGCCACATTGTTGTGAAGGGTAACTAGAAAAACAAAGTACACGGGCAGGAGTTTAAAACCAATCTGCCCAGAGTAAACTACGCAAGCTTAGCATGGGCTAAAAAAACACAAAGATTATTTAGTTATATGTTGCGCTAGCTGTTACTACCCGGCCGCCTTTGTCTCCCCACTGGCGATGTTCACACACCACAGCAGTTACTCGTTTGAGGCTGAGTCGACCTAGGGGAGGCCCAGGACCGGTTAAAATAATCGTCACCGGTGGTGGCGGTGAGCGGGAATCGAACTTGGGTCGCCGGGTTCGTAGCGCAGCGTAGCGCTAACCGCTACACTACGGGTCACGTGACAGATTTGACGTCACAGCTCACTTGCCGTGCAAAAAATAAATGCATTATCGAGCTCCCCCCCCCCCAAAAAACAAAAGTGTATTTGTGTAATGTTTGCACGGTGTACAGTCTGGAAAGTACCCACATGGCAAATTTCCAGTTTGTTGCATGTCGGGAAGTACGCTAAACATTTTGAACAGACACACATATTCACAACTTTGCCTTTTATATATGGAGAAGATAGGTATAAACGAAAATAACCTTGACCAGCTCTACACAATTGCAGTGATTGCATGATTGATACAAAAGAGGGGAATGGCGTTTCAAATAACTTCCTGTGACAACGACCAAGTTCTGTAGATTGTAAACAGTACACCAATGTGCTTCAAGATAACCAAGTGTCTGCAGGTGTGACATTTTTCTGCAACCAAAATCTCAAGTGCAGAAGCTGCATTATCCTCTTGAGAACACTCCAAACTTCCCCCTCTACTTGGCCACTGATCTTCAAGTATAACACGGCAAAGCCGGCCACGTACAGAAATAGTCAATGCCTGTTTCATCACGCCGTGCACACCCCCCACCCCTTGCGTTAAAAACGTCACCCCCCCCCCCCACACACCGAGGGCTCACCACCACCAGCTGTCGAGAGAGCGCGGCTCTGATATGCTCGATATTGGTCTTACCTTGCTTGAGGCCAGGGTTGGTGAAGTCCCAGGTCTCAGAGTCATTTTTAAACACATTCAGACGCATCGCCTGTAAAGAGGACACAGCAGGGGGAAAAGATAAACATTATTCAGTGGCCAGCATATAGGGCATAGATGCTCGGGAAAAAAATATATATACTTTAGAACCTTCTTTGGTTCTTTCGGTAAAGTCATCCACGTAGAATGAGGATAAAATAATAAAATAAAACAATAAAATTCTCACGACGTTTCGGCCACAACACAAGTGGCCTTCTTCAGGTGAAAGGAACAAACCTGTCAGTCCCGACCTTGTGTTGTGGCCGAAACGTCGTGATAATTTTATTGTTTTATTTTATTATTTTATTCTCATTCTACGTGTGGTGACTTTACCGAAAGAACCAAAGAAGATGAATCCTTGCAGTCACGAAAGCTTTAAATCAAAACTTTAGAACCATTTAAAATGTACAAGCATAATAATTATTAAGCGGTCATTACCCCCGAGACAATTACGGCATGCAACTTGCGGTGAAGCCGAGGTACTTAACGCAACCCTTAACCTCCTGGGAGATGAATAAGAGCTGCCACACGTAGGAAGTCAACGGTAAGCTAAACTTTCGTAGCCGTACGTAGCAAAAGCGTGCTTATCGGAGTTGTGGGAAAACAGTGGCCTTCTGCCACCGGTTTTTTGTTTAAGATCAAGTGTTGATTATCCCTCTTCGTTAGAACAAGCTCCCTTCGTGTTTGCAGATAAAATCGCTATCCCTCGGTGACCTATTTAAATTCCAAACTTGTTTAATCGCACATAAGTTTGGCATGCTCTGCCTAACTCGGTATTATTTATTCGCGGTAGTTCCTCAGTGTACTGTAAAGCGTTAGCCTTGATCGTATACCTCAAAAATGTTGAAGTGCCATAACCCCGTTATGAAAATGATGCATTCGTTATTACTGTTCATGTAATTTTATTTCCTGCTAACAATGTAACATCTCTCCTCAGGTACTCTGCAGGTCTCGCAAAGCAGCCTATGGCTGAATGCTAATCACCCGTCACCAAATAAAATTGAATTAAAAACCAACTCTACCCTTCCCACTGGATGCGAATTTTCCACTTAACTAGCTCAGGGCACTGGCTCAGATGAGAACCACGCTCACACGGTAATATCAATTGGGAAAAGTTTGACTTTAGACAACGGCAAGGATGCCCGTCATGCACAATGGGTTGTTGTAGGTTGTGGGGCTGTGTGGTGGGCAGCTGTAAAATCCATTGGGTGCATTGTATTTCTATGCTGCCACAATATATGCTACACTCCTTTACCCCGCACACAAGTCAAATAACCCCCACAACAGGCATCGAGTGCGGAAGCCCTCATCTAGCAATGAATTGCCGTGTGTATTCAGCATTATTTGCTCACCAAAGTGGTCAATTCAGAATATTAAATGAAATCTTTGGTCTGCGGGTGAAAAAACCCAGGTTGTAGGTGCACACACTTGTGAATGTACAAAGTATCGGTTGTACTTGCCCTCGCATAGTCCTACTATAAGAGTACAGCAGCCCGAATAGATGTCCGCTCCATTCAGAGATGAGTTCGCTCTCTCGGCGCTCTCAACCGAAACAAACGTGGCCAAAAATTAAGGAAAACACGACCATTTCATTTTAAAAACAATACATTTAGCATCTCCAAAATAACACGTAAAATTACGTGAATGGCGGACATATCGTTACGGTTATGCATCTCGTTGAAAGGATATTCCACAAAGGCCTGCAGGCCATTCTTCCTGAAGATCACAATGCGTTGCAGAGGCCCAAATGGTTTGCAAATGTTGTAAAGCACATCCTGCAGGACCACATGGAGCACACAAACGCAGCGAGGTGATTTTGCACGCATTACCAAGTAAATTTGAAAAGCTTTTTTTCCAGTGAATTTTTAAGATCGAGCCATACAGGACATCAACGCTTTCCAAAATCAACATTAGGTCTATATATTGTTTTTTATTCAATGCCATTGGTAGACTTCAAAGCACAAACAAAAAACACGACTTCAATTGCCTCAAATGAACCAAAGGATCAATGTAATTTCCTTAGCAAAGCCATTCACTGTAATCCAAAACGGACATAATTTCACTCGTATAAATGAAACACGCGCGTGTGTGCATGGCACACCCGACAAACTATTCACACATTAATGTCCAGCTGCTGTAAGTGTAACAATGCCCACCGTGGTGATGGGGTAGATGGGGTTGAGAATGGTGAAGAGCAGGATGTGGTTGCTGTTGCCGTTGTCCCCCGGGACGCCAGGGCGCCAAAGCTTCTGGCTGGTAGAGAAGTTAAAGTAGGCCGGCTGCCCGCACACGTAGACGGAGCCCTTGGACGAGTAGTCGACGCAGCTGCGGGAGCTCTCCGGGTCTTCAAACTCCACCAGCGCCTGCCGCGTCTTGGGTATCATCACCACGTAGCTGCACGGAGGGAGCAATTCAAACGAGTGCCGTTATTCAAAGATGTGGCCGACTTTAAAACGCGTGCCTGTTGTTAATTTTAATCACGAGGTTGGTCTGCTCCAAGTCACCTCATTTGATCTCAAGAAATGTTTCAATGCATGCAACGGAGTGGAGACTGGTTGGATGCAGGTTAGATGCCACGTCCCATTTCAGTTTGGCAGTGTAGTACGTTGGAATTGAATGTACTGTAAGAATATAATTATATTTAAAATACATCTTGAGGGTAATGTAGTCTTCTTCTGTCGATGTATCACCTGACAAATGAAGCCTCTTCAAACGTACATAAACAAGGTACGTGTGTGCACCATTTCAATACGAGATATAAATTTTTAACACGGTTACTAATCACAGTTGAACGTGTGCTGCTTTTGTCAGACGGCACAACAAAAGCAGCAGTGGCACTTTAATTCGGAGGGAATTCGTGACTTGGGGAAATTGAAGAACAAACGGTTTTTGTTTCCATTTAAAGCTTTCGTGACTGCAAGGATTCATCTTCTTTGGTTCTTTCGGTATAGTCGCGTAGAATGAGAATAAAATAATAAATTAATTTAAAAACACAAAATTCTCATGACGTTTCGGCCACAACACAAGTCGCCTTCATCAGGTGAAGGGACGAGACTGTCCCATTTCAGTTTGGCAGTCTCGTCCCTTCACCTGATGAAGGCCACTTGTGTTGTGGCCCGAAACGTCGTGAGAATTTTATCGTGTTATTTTAATTTGTATTAATTTATTATTTTATTCTCATTCTACGCGGTGGTGACTTTACCGAAAGAACCCCAAAGAAGATGAAGTGGTTTTTGGTTGGTCACTTCAGGCTGGCAAGGCCCCGAGTAAGCCACGCACGGCGTCGCCGATCACGCCGTGACGTGGGCAACGCCGCGCCCTCTCGTCCGCCGCATAACGCGGCCACGACTTTTTATTTACGGAAGTGGTTCTTGAGCTTTAACCTGCAGCCTTGCCACCCCCCCTTTGGTTCTCAATATATATTTTTTTAAAACGTACAATATTTATTAATTTAGAGGTTTGATGGAACAAAGTAGCGGTGCGTACGTGCCCGTGCTCAATGTGTTTCGATGGATTTACCTTGTTAAAAAATAATCTGGCACGTCTTGCACCCCCAGAAAGGGCATCTCCCACCCCGTGCTTAAGAACCATCGAGTATTTTCGTGTTATGCAATTTCTTGAGTTATTGAACCGAAAACCGGTAATACTCGAATTTCCAAGGTCTACGTTCACTCCACGTCCGCAAACACCACCACCACAACAATAATAACAATAATAATAACACCAATAACAATAATAATAACTATAATAACAATAATCTTTGTTTTTTTTCGGTAAAGTCACGTATAAATAAGAAATAATAAAATTACATAATAGCGCACGACGTTTCGGTTGCAACACAAGCAGCCATCATCAGGTACAGAAGAGCTAAATTTAAGAGAGAGGGGAAACACATAACCCCAGATGTATATACAGACACCCAAGTAGGGGGGAACTAACACCGACACAATAGGGGACACAGAGAGAGAAGCATACCAAACAGACAAGAGTTTAGCAGAATTTGGAAACCAAATAAAGCAACACAGACGGTCGGTCAAAACACAATTAACGCAAAGCCTGGTTGATTACGTTATTTCAAAGATTGCTAAATTGCAAGTTAAGTATGAAATTTAAGATACAGACGGCACACACACATAGACATTCAAGTAGAGCGGACCAGCACAGGTACAAGCACACAGTGAAGTCGCCTTAAATAGGCAGAGAAGGCAAGGCTGAGAGGCAATGGGACATATTAGCATGAGAAGGCAAGGCTGAGAGACAATGGGACATTTTAGCATGAGGTATGCATAGAGCAAAGTGGAGCACGGCAGCAAACATTCGGAAGCACCAAGACCGACACACAGGCAGAGACAGCACAGAGAAACAAATCCAAGCACAGACACAAAGGCAGATACACAAGCAGAGACAACACACAGACAACACAAGACAACACAAAGACAGACACAAAGATACAGACCTTATACCTCCCCGTAGAGGCGGTTTAAACTTGGTTCAAAGCTTTCGTGACTGCAGGAATTAATCTTTGGTGTTTTCGGTAAACAACAATAATAATAATACAGCTTCCTTCCCCATGCGGGCAACGGTCACCACCGACTGGTCACCTGACTAGGCCAAAGTACCGCACGGCCTCCACGAGGTCCGACTCGAGGGCTGTGTCTGAGAGTCCCCGCACGTGAACCACAGCCGACGGTGGGGGCTTGTGTGGGTCCTCAAACGTGTCCTGTGCACGTCGGCAAGGAAGCAAACTCAACACGACTATTGTGCAAAGCTGTTGTTTCCTCCTATACCGAGAAGACAGTTTTCAGTTTCATTTATTTGGTATAGCCCTGTGAGCCATTTGGCTCTTGAATCGGGTGCAACCGCAACAAACAAAAACATGAACAGGAAAAACATCTTAAAGTGACTTTGTGTGACTGTGCAAACAAAAAATCCAGGAAAAAACAGCAAAATAATCCTTGAAATAGCACCGTACACCAACGCTGTGTGCAAAAATCCCAGTGGGATGCAAGTCAAACAACAACAACCACAAGACAACTAAGATTAAAGCCATCAGTCTAACTCCGTACTACAACAAAACAATCATGGCCAAACCATAAAACTTTTTCAAAATCACCAAAATAAAGCCACGGCTAACATCGCCGGCAAGTGATATCGGAGCAGATGCAGACACTTGCATTAAAGGGCTTTTTAAATCTGCATCCGTTTGGCAAAAAAATGGCCATAGCTCAGTGCCATCATTTCAGTAATCGCTAAGAACGTTCGCGAGTTTAACTTTCAATCTAAACGGCCCTCGAGTTACAAACTCTGGAACTCGCATCCCCCACCGCCAGGTGCGCTTTTGTAGACGCTGTAAAGTTTTATTCCGCAAAGTTTTTAATCACATTGGGGAGGGTCGAAGAGCTTCCCCACGACGCTATCGCGTGGGACATTTAACATATCGGTATTTTAACTTAATTAGTATTTTAACTTTTGATTTAAAGCTTTCGTGACTGCAGGGATTAATATTCTTGGTTCTTCCGGTAAAGTCACCACGTAGAAGGGAAACAATAAAATAATAAAAATATAAAACAATACAATTCTCACGACGTTTTGACTGCAACACAAGAAGCAATCATCATCAGGTGTGAAAACCACAGCAAGAAAATTTGAACAAAAGTGGCATTTTTTTTAACGTCAGCACCACGGAGAGCGATTTGAGAGTTTGTTCAGATGGACCAGTCCATCTATGTTCTGAAAAGAGGAGGGGGGAGACGAAAATAATGGATGCGGTCTGAAAGCCACCGTAAGCGTGAACAATTAAGACCCGAAATGGTTTATCAAATCCTTCCAATGATTGTTAAGCCAGAATCTATCTTCTCGGTTGAAATTGTCTCTGTGCTTGTATATGTGGATAGCCTCATGAACGAATTTCTCCTGGTAGGCAATGTTTTTATTCGTGGTCCGCCAGGAAGTGTCTGTGTTGTTGGCCTGACTAGATGTGCTTCACATAATGTTGTTTCAGGTTTGTTGAATTCTCGTCTCTCATCTTTTGCTGTATTTACCTCCGTGATTTGTTCTTGACACCTGATGAAGATCGCTTGCGTTGTGATCGAAACGTCGTGATTGTTTTTTGTTTTAATATAATTTTATTGTATTTCTACATACGTGACTTTACCGAAAAAAACAATGAGTAATGTTTTTATTGTTTCATATTTTTTTATTATTTTAGTTCAGTGCAAAGAGAATACCCACCCTTAGAAGAGAAAACGCCGTATAAAAAAATTACACTGGAAATAGCCCAAAGTGTTAACGAACACGAAATCCACGTTTACCAAAACGCGTTTTACTGAACGTAAGCAGAGCCTAGCGATGCTGTGGTCCGCGTGGTCCATCCCCAACACCAACAACGAGAAGCTCTTCGCAACGGCACTGGAATCTGCGAGTTACAAAGCTAAACAATCACGTTAAATAATATAAACACGGCTGGTGGTGGTGGTGGCACGTCGCCTGAGTGAAGCCTCTGGCCCAGGCCTCACAACGAGGCTCTGGGCGAGGAGGAGTAAAAGAAACATCTTCTCGTTATAAAAACACCTCGTCAAGTCGCTCGTCACTGACGCTCACCATCGCGCCCGCCTGGACGCGGTCGTTGCCTTCGCCATTGACTCCCAGGCGCTTGGCCGCGTGCCGGGCGGCGGAGGCGGCGGTGGTCAACATCGTCGTGATGGCGTGGAGCGCCGGAGGGAATCGATTCGCGATCCTGTCGCAAAAAAATCGACGCCTGCGCGGATCGCCGAGCGTCAGCGGCAGCAGCGGGCGGCGGCGGCGGGGCGATTCCAACGCGTGACATCGATTCTCGGATCGATGTGTCCTCTGGCGATGTTCGCGCGGCTTGGTGTGACCCCACAGCCACTCGTCACGTGACGCCTCTCTCGGCCGACTGGGGCCGGCGACGGAGATCTGAAGCAGTCGTGGGCCTCCCCCTAGGTCGGACTCGGACTACATAATTAAATTTGATTAAATTTTTATAATATTAAATAAATAATAATAAATGATTAAAATAATCAAATTAGATTATTGTAAAATCATAATAAATAAATAAAACGAAATTTTTAATAATCAAATTTGATTGCTTTTAAATAAGAATAAGTACATAAAAAACAAATTTGATTATTTTTAAAATGAGATTAAATAAATAAAAATGTATAAATTAAAATAATAAAATTTGATTATTTTAAAATAATAAATAAATATACATTATAAGTTAAAATAACAATTGGATTATTTTAAAATAATAATGAATAAATAATAAAATAATTGACCAATTTCTATTACTTTTACATAATAAATCAAGGCAGGAATATTTAATTAATAATTTAGCCTTTCTTTATAACAAAATTTTAATATTTTAAAATAATAAAAAATAAAACTTACAAATAATCACATTTGAGTATTTTAAATAATAAATATATAAAATTTCCTTTCAAATTTTACTAATCAAATTTGATTATTTTTAAATAAAAATAAATAAATATAAATATTCAAATCTGATTATTATAGAAATTAAAAAAGAGGGATGGCATTGTCATCCTCTCAGCCGACAAGGTCAATGCCACTGTCATCATGGATAAAATACAATATAACAACAAAATTCAAGAATTACTCATCAATGGTAGCTATACAAAAATAAAAAGAGATCCCACCAACAGCCTCGTCATACAAACCAACAAAATCATTTCTGATTCAACCGCATTAATTGATCAAACCAAACAGTTCTCGTTGAAACCTTCTACTGCCAGGCCACCAAGATTATGCGGCTTACCAAAAATACATAAAGTAGATTCACCCCTTCGTCCCATCGTCTCTACTACAGTGAGGGAAAAAAATATTTGATCCCCTGCTGATTTTGTACGTTTGCCCACTGACAAAGAAATGATAAGTCTATTATTTTAATGGTAGGTTTATTTGAACAGTGAGAGACAGAATAACAACAACAAAATCCAGAAAAAACGCATGTCAAAAATGTTATAAATTGATTTGCATTTTAACGAGGGAAATCAATATTTGACCCCTCTGCAAAACATGACTTAGTACTTGGTGGAAAAACCCTTGTTGGCAATCACAGAGGTCAGACGTTTCTTGTAGTTGGCCACCAGGTTTGCACACATCTCAGGAGGGATTTTGTCCCACTCCTCTTTGCAGATCTTCTCCAAGTCGTTAAGGTTTCGAGGCTGACGTTTGGCAACTCGAACCTTCAGCTCCCTCCACAGATTTTTGATGGGATTAAGGTCTGAAGACTGGCTAGGCCACTCCAGGACCTTAATGTGCTTCTTCTTGAGCCACTCCTTTGTTGCCTTGGCCGTGTGTTTTGGGTCATTGTCATGCTAGAATACCCATCCACGACCCATTTTCAATGCCCTGACTGAGGGAAGGAGGTTCTCGCCCAATATTTGACGGTACATGGCCCCGTCCATCATCCCTTTGATACGGTGAAGTTGTCCTGTCCCCTTAGCAGAAAAACACCCCCAAAGCATAATGTTTCCACCTCCATGTTTGACGGTGGGGATGGTGTTCTTGGGGTCATAGGCAGCATTCCTCCTCCTCCAAACACGGCGAGTTGAGTTGATGCCAAAGAGCTCCATTTTGGTCTCATCTGACCACAACACTTTCACCCAGTTGTCCTCTGAATCATTCAGATGTTCATTGGCAAACTTCAGACGAGCATGTATATGTGCTTTCTTGAGCAGGGGAACCTTGCGGGCGCTGCAGGATTTCAGTCCTTCACGGCGTAGTGTGTTACCAATTGTTTTCTTGGTGACTATGGTTCCAGCTGCCTTGAGATCATTGACAATATTCTCCCGTGTAGTTCTGGGCTGATTCCTCACCGTTCTCATGATCATTGCAACTCCACGAGGTGAGATCTTGCATGGAGCCCCAGGCTGAGGGAGATTGACAATTCTTTTGTGTTTCTTCCATTTGCGAATAATCATACCAACTGTTGTCACCTTCTGACCAAGCTGCTTGGCAATGGTCTTGTAGCCCATTCCAGCCTTGTGTAGGTCTACAATCTTGTCCCTGACATCCTTGGAGAGCTCTTTGGTCTTGGCCATGGTGGAGAGTTTGGAATCTGATTGATTGGTTCTGTGGACAGGTGTCTTTTATACAGGTAACAAGCTGAGTTTAGGAGCACTCTTTTTAAGAGTGTGCTCCTAATCTCAGCTCGTTACCTGTATAAGGCACCTGGGAGCCAGAAATATTTCTGAGAGGGGGTCAAATACTTATTTCCCTCATTAAAATTCAAATCAATTTATAACATTTTTGACATGCGTTTTCCTGGATTTTTTTGTTATTCTGTCTCTCACTGTTCAAATAAACCTACCATTAAAATTATAGACTGATCATTTCTTCGTCAGTGGGCAAATGTACAAAATCAGCAGTGGATCAAATACTTTTTTCCCTCACTGTATCAACTTCCCCACCTACAAACTGGCTCGTTTTCTGTCTGAAATCATGTGGTCTTTCACTGGAAAAACCACCTCTGCGGTACAAAATTCTACTCACCTGGTATCTACAATCGCGAGTATTTCCATGTCCCCAGACGACCTGCTTGTCAGTTTTGATGTATTCTTAGTTCTTTCGGTAAAGTCACGTTGAAGGGAAACAATAAAATAATAAAATATAAATAAAACAAAAACAAAAATTCTCACGACGTTTCGACCATAACACAAACGGTCGTCGAATTTTTTTTTATTGTTTTATATATTTTTTATTATTTTATTGTTTCCCTTCAAGGTGACTTTACCGAAAGAACTAAGAATATGAATTACTGCAGTCACGAAAGCTTTAAATCAAAATTTAGTTTTGATGTAGTTTCCTTATTCACCAAAGTTCCTGTACCTGACACCATCGCAATCATTGAAGACTTGGTTCATCAAGGAATAAACACTGAGGTACCCCCCCTGGTGAGACACTGCTTAACCAATACATACTTCACTTGGAATGGAACTTTCTACAAACTGAGGGCACCCCAATGAACTCCCCCCTATCTCTGGTTGTAGCCAACATTTTCATGGAGAAATTTGAGACTGACGCCATCCAGACTGCCACTCTGCGCCCAACCTTATGGAAGAGGTACGTGGATGACACTTTTATCATCTGGCCACATGGCCGGCCTGCTCTAGACCAATTCCTCGACCACATTAATTCCATACACCCAGCCATCAGATTTACCATGGAAGTCGAAAAAGATGGCAAGCTACCTTTTTTTTGGATTTCCTAATAAAAAAGAGACCTGATGGTTCAATGAGCCACTCTGACTACAGGAAACTATCCATACGGATGCTTACCTGAAACCGGATTCCCACCACCATCCATTCCAGAAGAATTCCCTGATCAAGACTCTGCACCATAGAGCCCAATGCATATCTGACCAGGAACACATAGCCAGTGAACTCAAGCACGTACACCAAGCTCTTAAGGCTAATGGTTACTCCGACTACACAATCCGCAAAGCTATCACTCCAACCATGAAGAAGGACCCTCTTGAGGAGCCTTTCAAAACCATCACTTTACCCTACATTGCGGGGATCACAAAAAAGATCTCCAAAATCTTGAATAAACACAAGATCCAGGCCTGATTCAACACATTACATAAAGCCGTGATCTGGTTCCATCTGTAAAAGATGTGATTTCGAAAATACAGTACACTGGCGTCTACAAACTAAGTTGCCTCTGTGGTAGTAGTTATATTGGAGAAATCAAACGACATGTCTCGGTCCGCATTCGTGAACACAAAGCAGACCTGAAACATGGTAGGACCAACACCTCGGCCGTGGCAGATCATTGTTATAATTCAGTAGGCTCACATGACATTGACTTCTCCAAGACAGAGGTTCTTTGTAAGCCATCTGGCTACCATGAGAGATTCGTTCATGAGGCTATCCACATATACAAGCACAGAGACAATTTCAACCGGGAAGATGGATTCTGGCTTAGCAATCATTGGAAAGATTTGATGAACCATTTCGGGTCTTAATTGATTGTTCACGCTTATGGTGGCTTTCAAACCGCATTCCATTATTTTCGTCTCCCCCCTCCTCTATTCCTAACATAGATGGACTCGTCCTTCTAAATAAACTGCCAAATCGCTCTCCGTGGTGCTAACGTTAAAAAAACCCGCCACTTTTTTCAAAATTTCTTGCTGTGGTTTTCACACCTGACGACGATTGCTCGTGTTGCAGTCGAAACGTCGTGAGAATTTTATTGTTTTATATTTTTATTATTTTATCGTTTCCCTTCTACGTGGTGACTTAACCGAAAGAACCAAGAACATGAATTCCTTGCAGTCACGAAAGCTTTAAATGAACATTTATTTTTACTTCGTTAACACCTTTCACTTTCGCACGCCGCTAATTTTTTGCGACGAGAGGTTTTATTACCATAGGTGACACGTGCAGTGGGCCCAAGACGAGGCGAGACGCTTCACTAGAGGCAACACGTTTATTCAACAAGGGAACCACAGCACAGAGGGGTTACGACCCCTCACAGCCGATAACCTCAGGAGGCAGTCCCTCCACACTACGGTGCCCTTACTCTGGTTCTAGCGCTAACCCTACACTGGTTATGTCTGAACCCGACCCTAGCCAGGGTCACTGGGCTCTTCGCTTCAGGGTCTTCAGGGTCTTCAGGGTAGCGCTCAGAGTCTTCTTCAGAGCTTCAGGTGGA